TTGCACGTGGCAATGAGAGGACTGTGCCCTCTCATTAGTCTGAGGCTTGAACCTGTCCAAACACTGTAGCCACTCTCCACAGGCTGGTTTCCTAGAAAATAAGATGGACTCTAAGAAGGTTCCAAGGAAACCAGTTAGGCTCAGTGCTTTAAAGGAACTCAATCCTGACCTACTGCAAAGGCTTAGCCCCCAGTCCCTCTCTCCTGACAGGGGAGAGGTTGTTGCTCCCCTAACAGTGAATGCCTGCGTGGGAAATCTTGCTATTTGTACGCTATATCCCATGGCTGCAACCCTAGGCACATACCTCAGCCCCCATACCTTTCCCTGCACCCCCTCTGCAGATTGTGCATGGGAGGGACTCTGTGACCTCAAAGCCTGGGCGGTGAGCTGGCAGGATATGGCTGGTATCAAGGCTCTGCCACATCATATTGCTATTCTGTCTGGCCCCAGATCACACCAGGAGTTGGACGATACTTCCCTAAACATACAGCATCCAATGAAAGGGCGGTGGGGGACCAACACTCCTGCTGTAGGTCCTGTCTCTGGGAGCCATCTTTGAGCAGTGCTGCCCAGCAGGCACGCTGTGAGTGCTTCTGACCAATTACCTTGTTAGCATGGCAATTGTCCCAGCAAACTGGGTGTCCAGCCAGGCCCAGACCATGGCCTCTTGGTAGCAAGTCAGGGGACTGGAGGTAGATTAAAGGCCAACAACTGAGAGGAAGAGTCCTGCTGGTGGCGTTGTGACCAGCTTCAGGATTGCCAGCTAGTAACCAAGAGGCATTCCAGTGTGTCTCCAAACACTACCCTACTACTGGTGCCCTCTGGGCCCTGGCAAACCACACTGACTCACACTATTTCAAATCTGTCCAGGTCAACATTAATTCTAAGACCTGAGCAAGCTAACCAGGATAACTCTCTTTCCTCAGTCGCGGGGAGAACTTGGGATCAATGCTGTAGATCCTGGTTTGCCTTTAATCAATCCTTGGGCTAAAGCACAGGTAATGGCTTTCTGAAATAGGTGGTGTGCACTCCCTAAGCTGTTCCAACAATGGCTCCCCCTGCCCGTCTTCCGTGAACATGATCAGCATCTGGGGCTATCACCCAACATCTATTTCTAATCCTCCTCCTGATCTCCCACAGGCAAGTTCAGACTCAAAGCCCATATGGGTTGGAATAGAAGAGGGTGGTCCCAGAATGAGAGATGATAATTAGAAGCTGCCCATTGGAATTGGGGAAGGAGTGACAGGACAAAAAGCAGGCAGAAATTAAGGGTTAATTTGTCCAAGTCTGATGTCCCTCCATGCTAGCCTACAAAAGAGACTGGCCTTCTGCAGGGCTTTACGGAAACCAGCTGGTCCCTAGTACTAAGTCCATTAATGTGGTAAAAAGCAAAGTTTGGACCCAGATTCTAAATCATTGGAAGGGGCAGAGAAAAAGGTTCTGGTATTTGCTCAACTATAAACATTGATGTGGTCAACACTGCTCTAGTTTACCAGCTCCCAATAAAGCTGCAAGACCTAGACCCAGTTCCTTGATCTTGTCAGGGAAGGGTTTGGGGCTACATCTGATCACTAACGCTGCCCTGGCAGGAAAGGACTGCAGTTAAGGTTCTGCTATATCATCGTGTTTTCATTGTCCTTGCCCCTGATCACACCGGGAAGGAGCCAGTGCTTCTCTAATCCTGTCTTTTAAAAAGCGCTCTCTCTCCCCAGGTCTGACACCTGAATGGGCATATCTCCTATTGATCAGTGTCTGAGGGCTTTCCCCAATGCTCCAGGCATGGCATGAATGCTCTCTGCCTCTTTGCCCTGTTTGCATGAAGAAGTCCTTACAAATAGGTCACAATTCTGACCGAATATATAGCCACTGATTTGCACAAGTGTTTGTCAGTCCATGACTAGTCCATGTCTGCCACCCCAGCTACAGTCAAAATACCTGCCCTGAAGAATGAAACTGCCAGCCCTTGAGTCAGTGGAGATCAGACACCCTGTACAAGAGGGCCCATCTTTAGCAGCACTGGGGGGTTAGAACCTGTCTGCTGTGCTTGACTCTGGCCAGGGGGCTCTGGGTGAGGCTCTGGTCCCATATGTACCACTGGGCTAACCACTGGCCCTGATTGTACTCAGGTGCCCAGACCCTGTGACTATGGCCTCTGCTGAAGTTCATTTGCTCTGTGGTTCCCTGAGGGTGCTGGAGCCATGCCCTGGACTGCAGCCTGCTCGGTTGGGCCCTGACAGTCCGCCTTTTGCCATCTGCCGGCTGGTACCCTGCTTTAACCTGAATGGCACCCCTGGAATCAGGATGCTGCCACCTGCCCCTGATCACAGCTGCCACCTAGCTGTTGCTGTGGGGCCCCCATTAGCTTGTCTAGACCAATCAGATCAGATATGCGGAAGCTACACCATTGTCACTTCAGTGGGAACCGTACAGCCAGGTAAGTCCCCATTCCACTCTAGCCACATATTTTTGATAGCTCTATTTTACTTCCTTCATGAAAATTCTAAAATTATAAAAGCTACACCAGTAATTTTCACCATTGCTAGGTACAGGACACCATCAAAGGCAGTCTCTAGAATTTTTCATCAACACCAACTCAGCCACTTTATCCATCAGGCAGTAAAGGCATGCTTCTCAGGGCCTATGAACTGATTAAGCCATAGAAAAATAATTCAGATCTGACAGAAAGTAGTTGCAAAACTAAAAAACACAACCTGAAAATAATTACATAGTCAAAATATTCGATTTACTATGGAATTATGCTCTATGGTGGGACAGCTAAATGTAAGCCAGCCAACGACCTGCTCTCAGGGCAGCCGCACTCTAATCACATTTCCCAAATGCATCCTCACTCTCAGCCACTAAAATGATGTGGGCAACCAGGTGCCATGGTTACTGATCAAGATTACTAGACACTCCAATAATAAGGATGAGTAAATGGATGAATGGATGAATGAATGAATGAATGAATGAAGCAATTAATAAATCCTCCAATAGAAATACATTGAAAGGTTTAAAAAAAAAAAAAAACAGAACAAAGAAACCAGGAGTTGTTTACTAGGTATTGACTTTCAATTTTGCAAGATGAAAAAGTTCTGAAGTCTGGTTATATGATAATGTGAATATACTTTACACCACTGAACTTAGAAACAGTTAAGATGGCCAATTTTGTTATATAGTTTTTTTACCACAATAAAATTTTTTTGAGAAGTCGTACCAAATATTAAAAATTATAAATGAATTTTTTAGAAAAATTCAGAATATACTTATTAGTAGCTATTTGAATCTTACCAGACCACTTTAAATTTTCATCAATGTAGCCCTGACTTAATCACCCCTTATTTTCTGATATTATTTCTTATTTATTTTGTGACTTCTGTTTTGGGACCAGTAACTGACAGTTTGATTATTTGATTTGTCATTATAGGTGACAGAATTTGATGGCTTCAATTATAAAAACAAACCAAAAAGCAATTTTTATTTTATTCTTTTAGGGGGTTCCCATAGTTGACAGGAAAGTGCAGCATTATATTTTAGCATATAATCCTCAGGAATTTTTAGACTTAGCTCATCATAAAAGTAAAGCAATTATTTGTTTGTGTAGAGCAGGGTCTACTAGCAACAGGCTGTGAAGCTAGCTGACTAATATCAGTTCCAACACTAACTAGCTTTCCCTCATTGTGCCAGTTTCCTCATCCTCAAAGTGAAGATAATTTTTAAAAGCTTAAAAAAAAGTATTTATCTCATCTGTGAAATGGGAATACTAGTAGTAATTTTTAAAAGCTTAAGCAAAAATTTCACTTTGCATCTTACTTTATTTAAGCAGGAACTTACCCCATTTTTACAAATAGAAAAACATGATAAAGTATTTTTGTCTTCAGATATATTTTCTACCCACTATCTATAGATATACAAAAGGCTAAGCAACCGTCTGACCATCTGACCAGCCGGTAGCTATGATGCACACTGACCACCAGGGGGCAGATGCTCAACACAGGAGCTGCCAAGCTGTGGTCACTTGGTAGTGGCAGTTTGGTTCTCGGGTGACACACCCTGGAACCAGGGAGGAGGGAGCCCGGTTCCTTGCAATTCCTCTTGCACTCCAGGACCCCTCGGGGGATGTCGCAGAGCCAGTTTTGGCCTGATCCCTGCAGGCCAGGCCAAGGGATCCCACCTGCTGGAGGGACCCCGCTTACTCGGCAGATGCCCTTTGAGCTGCGGCACTGGCCCAGGTGCAGCCAGCTGGGGAGGGACCATGAGAGGTTGGCTCCAGGGGGTGTCCGGCCCATCTGGCTCAGTCTTGCCCCACCAGCCACTGCCTGGGACCACCCGCATTAATCCCTGCACCAGAGGGACTAATTAATTTCCTTTCAATGTGCACGAATCTGTGCACCAGGACACTGGTCCTTGCATAAATAATTATAACTTAAATTTCTACTTGCAGTCCTTATTAAACCACAAACCACCATACAACATATGTTTCTGACAATTTTTTGTTGTTTTAGACTTTGGCTTGTCTTAAGATAACATTGTTAGCTATGAAGTTATTTTTAAAAAAGAACATTTCCTTCAGAAATTACTATAAAAATCATGATGGAGCCATATCTGAGTTTTTTAGATATTTTTTGTTTTTTGTACAGGGGCACTTGGAAAAATCCCCATTTTCACACATGAGAAATTAATTTAAAATGAACAAAGAAAGTGCTAAAAAAGGAAAAACAATTCAAAATGGTGCAGCATGTTTGTGAATGAAGGATGAATGGGGGTTGGGGGGAGCTTTCTCTTTGTGATGCTGCTGGGAACTTGAGGCTTAGCGCCGGGGCTGAGGTCAGACACAAGCAACGCTGAAGGTGAGTCCGTAAGTCACACCTTTGCTTTTGAATCTCGGTAACTTATATTTCTATAAAACCTCAGGTCTTTTTGTCGACCCCCACGTGCCTTCTGATTGCCTGGACTCTGGATCCTCCAAGGCACCCAAGGCATACAGGCCGGTGGCCACTCACCCTCTTCCTCAAAGAGAAGTCCCATGTGTCCGTGCGCCTCGGCTTCTTTCTTCCCACCGTCAATTTTGATCAGCTCAGCAATCTCAAAACATCGCTTGTAGAAGTGGTTCCTTACCCACTTGTCTTCAGAATTATTGAAGTAACAGGCCAGAGCATACAAGTTATTATAGACATCTTCAAAATATTCTTCAAAGAGAGAAAAACATCATAGACTGCATTAGAAGAATGACACATCCCTTGGAATGGCAAACCGATACAGTGACATGTATTTTCTATTTTTCCTTTAAAACATGATTCACTACATTTAAAACTTGAAATGCAAAACTTAATGTATATTAACTATGAAAGTAGTTGTATTAATTAAAGAATATGCATATGAGGAAAGCAACAAAAAATCTTCCCCCAAACTTAGCACATGTTAGAAATGAACATACCCTTTGGTTGAATCACTAGACTTTATATATAAGACAAAAGACAACAACATATAGTACCAATGTGCTCAGTGCTTTCAGAAGAAATGAGTATATGGTTATCACTAAAAACTTTTCTCACTAAAGATTAAAAAGTAAATACAGAGAAAGCAAGGTTTCTTAACTATGGCAAAAGATAATGTAAATAATGTAAATGAAAATGGCAAGGTTTTCACTTAGAAGAAAAACAATCAAGAATGAGTGGATTAAAAACTGTGACACATCTACACAATGGAATACTCTGCTGCTATAAAAAGAAGGAACTCTTACCATTTACAACAGCATAGATAGAACTGGAGAGCATTATGCTAAGCGAAATAAGCCAGTCAGAGAAAGATAAATATCACTTGATCTCACTCATTTGTGGAATGTAATGAACAATATAAACTGATGAAAAAAAACAGATCCAGAGACAGAGAAACATCAATCAGACAGTCAAACCACAGAGGGAAGGTAGGGGAGAGTGGGGGTAAGGGGGAGAGATCAACCAAAGGACTTGTATGCATGCATATAAGCCTAACCAACGGACATGGACAACAGGGGTTTGAGGGCATGAGTGGGGGGAGTAGGGGGGCAATGAAGGGATAAGGACATATATGTAATACCTTAATCAATAAAGAAAAGAAAAAAAGATGACGCAATAAGCTCCCTACACTTTCTAGCAATATTTCCAGCCATAAGAGTTACCAGCAACGCTAAGAAAGAGTGAACTTCTATGCTTTTGTTTTCTATGAGTCCTTTTTTTCTCCTGAAAATGCATTAATACTAGTCATCCCTGTCACTCAAACAGTATTAGTTTATTAGTTGTTAGTGTGTTAAAGCTACCCTTTCCCCTGAAGTGGCATCTGACCTATTTGTACTAAAAAAAAAATATGTATTAATCCTTTGTGAATCAGTCTTGTAAATCCCACTGTCATCAATCATAAACTTGAATCAAAACATTGTGTGTTTATAAATTGTGTCTCAATCCTGTAAACTCCAATCTATTGGTGAATATGAACAAATTCAGAATCCTTATGTCTTTTTGCCTTTGTGCAAAAAGCACACTTCTAAATATGTGGTAGCCTCTGGATTACCTTTCCAAGGATTTAAAAAACACACAATCATTATTATTCACTGATATATTCCTGAAAAGATTACAATTGTGAAAAATATTTATACATTGCCCACAACCATTCCTGTAAGATTAAAGCTGAATTGCTTAGAAAAATTGAAACTAAGCTTACTAGAACTGTACATAAGTCACTCCAATGTTCCAAAAGAAATTTCTAAACCAAAGTCATTCCTTTACATATACTGCTTCATAATTCCAAGGGAAATTAGATTTACCTCAAAATAGGTTTTATACCTAAAAATAAAGTAAAACTAAAAAGTTTTTCCCTGTCGGCCTCCGGAGAGCCATCCTGCAGCAGCACGGGTGAAAATTGGAGACTAACTTGAGGTATTTACTTCAAAACCACGCGCTCATCTCAGAGCTGGCTTCTCCCATGTGCGATCTTCCCATTCTGCGTCTTCTACCTACTGTGAGCAGAGCACTAAAATCTTTGTTGTAGTATTTTATATTCTTTGTAGTATTTAGTGATTAGAGAGTTATTTTTAAAGCCTGTAATTAAAATACTTCTTCTCTTCCATTTTTAAAAGTTATATAATGAACTTTTAAAAATATATGTAATGCTGAAATAACTTCTATTTTTCAGTAATTAGGCCTTAATAGAAAAACATTTCTAACATTTCATAAGTAAAGTTTTCTGTTTTTGTTTTTTTTAGAATGAATGATATGAGCTATCAAGATAAATGGAATTTTTTCAGAGTAATAAGTATAAAGGGATATATTCAAGTTTTTAATCTTTGTGTGATTCAAATATATGGCTTGTATTTTTCACATTATAAACAGCCTTTACCCTCCTTGAATTATCTGCAGGTTTATTTATAAAATAAAAATCAACTTTATTGTTCATTTTTATTTAGATCAGTATTTATTAAGCTACCTAAAAAAGGAAATTCCAAGATAAAATAAGTTTGGGAAATTATCTTGCTAATTTCCCTCCTTCAGTACATACATTGGCATGTTAAAGGCTCTGGTAAGTCCTGCAATAAACCTACCTGCCTGACATTAATGTTAATTCACATGATGTTTCTCAAACTTATTTCACCAGAAAATTATTTTTGTTTTGCTTCACATAAAACCTATCAACATCCTGTGGAACTCTGCTTGAGTAGAACGTACTTTGAATATCCTAAGTAAATGTTACCAGAAAAAAAAAATTGCTAGTTAACCCTTGGCAATAATTTAAAGTGGGCGGTGAAGGCTTGGCGGGGAGTGGGGGGGCAGAGAGGGGGGAGTAGGAGAAGGCAATGGAGAAAAAAAGAGACATATGTAATACTTTCAACAATAAAGATTTATCTAAAAAATAAAGTCAAGTGTAAATCATGTTTGAATTATCTATTGATTCAGTTGCCCATTACCATTATTGTCATCTCTTCTCTAGCCCCATGGGGGCACGGGGCCATAACCATGATGTTACAGATGGTACAGAGATTACTCACAACAACGGGTAATAGAAGAAACATTTTCAGGGACAAAGGAAAACTTCAACAAATGGAAAATAATCCAAAAAGCAATGACTGGCTTACTTTAAAATACTTCTTTGCTAGAAAACAGAAAATATTTTGCAAAATAATTTAAGTAAGTCTAGATTCCTGTTCTGGAAATCTCAAGAGACAGAACTGACCCCAAGGTAACTATTGTTAGTGCCACAGCTTTGATAACATGAACTTCATGGTAACTCTAGAGTGATGGTCTTTTCAATGAGAAGAAATGCGGATGCTCAGAGATATGCTACTTCAGAGTAAATGTCTCAGATCCCATAACCATATGCAATGGAATCTTGAGGTACTATTAACAGAATTCTATATATTACCTGAAGCATGTGTGCATGTGTGTGTATATGTATGTGTGTGTGTATGTGTGTGCGTGTTTAAGGATTTAGGATTAATCCAAGTTAATAAGAGTGAATGTGCATATTCCTTACCCATTTCCTGGGATAGTCTTATCTTAAGTAACAATTTTCTCCCAACAAAATTCATGTGTTAGATGTGAAAAAAAAGTATACAAAATTTTAAAAAGAACATATAAATGTTTTATATGTCCTGCAATGGAAGCATTTCCAATAATATTTATTGCAATAATTTTAATTTTCTCTATTTCAAACAGGCAAAAGCCACTGCATTATGATGGAGATAACCCTATAGAAGAGTAATTTTGGGGAAGAGGTAATTTTGTTCCATTTAACAAATGCAACCTTGGTTACCATGGATATATAATAGACCACTCAATAAAGAAATATTTATTTTCATTATTTATACCATGTATATAAGATATTGGTTATTATAAAATTTGGACTTTGCTAATTTTTGGAATTGGAGAAACATTTTTACTTATATGTATAGTTACTTTTCTTTAATAAAAGATTATAAATTAAAATGTTTTCTACCTTAAAATGGACTATTTAGCATTTTTAGTTTGCTTATCATTACAAAATGCTTTATGATAAGTTTCTCATATTAATGACACTTTCTGAAGTGATGTATTTGACTCATGTTTATTCTACTTAAATGAAAGCCTCTATTTAAAGCCTTTAGTGAATATGATGATTCAACTTGAAAAAAATGACCACTGGGCAAATTTAACCTTGATCAATTTTATTTTCAGTGTAAATATCACTTCAGAATTTGTGGTTGATATCAGTATGTAGGTTTTTTTAAATAGCATTTTTTATTTATAAAAGTTAATTTACAGAGAAATTGTATGTAAATAACATTTTAAAATTTGCCTAAGTATTCTATTTTAAAAGTCAATTCTACAGTTAAATTCTTCTCATAATACAAATAATCACCTCCTATTTGCTCAATCGCTCTCTCTCTCTCTCTCTCTCGCTCTCTCTCTCTCTCTCTAGTTCACTTATGGTGGTGGTGGTAGGATTTTTGTGTAACTCATATTTGTAAGTCAGGTCACAACCTGATGAGAAATACATATTGAGTCTACTATGGATGTTGAAAGACTTCTTGCTATCTTCTGATGCTGTTTCCATGGCCCCATCAATTTCCCCCATTGTAGCATTAAGTAACAAAATGTTGCTAATATTTTTTCATAGAAAGGCCTGAAGTGAAATGTAGATATTGTCATGGTAGGGCATGAGCTTCTCTCTTTAGGTCCTATGGTACTTTCACACAAGAAGTTGAAGGAAAGAATAATTTAGAATGCCAAGTGTATGTCAAAATCTAGGATTTCCCGTCTTTGATGATATAAAATGACTAATTTCTAATATGCAACTAAGAAATACAAATGACAACAACATCAGTACCATAGTAGAGATTAAAATATTTTCTTCAATACTTGAAACATAGTGACTTTCTGGAAAATCTTAGGACACACAAAAAAAAGAATATGTTAGAAACAATGTGATGAAATACATAAAATTAACAATTTGATTTGCAGCTTTTAATTCTTCTCACTATCTAATCTAATAAAAGAGAAACATGCAAATTGACCGAACCTTTGCTATGCCCCAAACCAGGCCCACCAGCCAATAAGAGCAACTATATGCAAATTAACCCAACCAAAATGGCGGCCAGCAGCCATGGAGCTGGAGCAAGCAAAAGGCTTGGATGCCCCGGTGATGGAGGAAGCC